CACACTTATCTCATCGGGTTTTTTGTGTTTTGTTTTTGTAATAAAATATTTTAGGCATAAAAAAATACAGAAAGTAAGACGATGAATGTGACTGCTCTGTTTTTAAATCAAAATGGATTTAATTTTTTAGAAACAATATCCTTGTTACATCCTTGGGGATCCGGAGCCAGACAACCTAGGTTCAAATCCTAGTTCTGCTACTTACTAATTATGTAGCCTTGGACAAGTTACCCAGCTTCTCCTGGCGTCAGTTTCCTCATCTGTAAAAAGGGCATAATTATAACACCTGATTCGTGGGATTATCCTGAGGATCAAATGAGATAATATATACAAAACCTTCAGCAAATAGGGCCTGGCACATAGCAAGCATTCAGGAAATGGCAATCACTATTTTTGTGGGTGTTATTACTAGTTTTCATTTGGAAAGGTTGCAGACAGCTCTGAGACCAGCTGGAAACACTGAGAAGGTTGTGAAACGAAAACTAAGAGCATGTTCTCCTCTGTGTTCCCAAAAATCATGTGGTAAGTGTGGAAATTCCTCACCTTTCCCCCTTCGCTTCTGACACTCTGGGGAAAATGTCTCGAAGCTTGTTCTAAGTGGCAAGACTGAAGTGATATTTAAGTCACTTAAATTTTTTAAAAAGCTTGAAAATACTATATAAGAGGCTTGGCTGGATGGAGAGATTTGTGATGAAGTAAGAGCAAACCATTGTAGTACCCACAGTGGGATTTCCCAGCAGGAAGTTGGGAGTTTCAGCGTCAAGGTTTTAAGAAGAAAAGAAATCCATGTGGAGCGGTGTCAGCCCTGTTTATCGAAGGCTGTGTCCCCAGAAGAGGAGTCTGCAGAGGTCTCAACTGACCTCTCTCACTTTCGCAGGGTGTTTGGTGGCAGCTCCTCTGTGCTCTAGTGCTGTGTGAACTTCTGGAATCACTTAACCTCTCTGAGCTTGTCTAGTAAAATGGATCTATTAAGACCCATTCCACAGAGTTTGTGTGGGGAATAAATGAGATAACAAGGGCGGAAGGGAGTAAAAACTGTAAAACTGCCTATGCCTATGAGGGGGTTAAGACCCTGTGTCAAGGCCAGGTAGGTGCCAGGGAAGATGAGGAGGAGGCCTGACTGCTCAGGCCCAGAAAGAAGGTGGAGGAGGAGCTGGGCTGACATATCATCCCTTTGTTTACCAGGGCCCTGAGCTGTGGCCTGCCCCATCAGACTCTAGCCCAGCCTGTAGGGAAGAGACAGGCGCAGGTGGCCCAGCTTCAGCAGTCCAAAGAGCACGAACATCCTGGAAAACAGAGGCAAAACTCACCCAACCTCCAGGAGTTCCTCTGGAATTCCAGGCCCCTGGCCTATTCTCCTACTCAGCAGCCCTCACCCCACATGAATCAGTACTACCCCCTGACTCCCCTGGGAATAACAACCATCACCACCAGGCACTGCTCGGGGGTTTGCACATGTCACCTCGAATCCTTACAACCGCCCCATTTTACAGACCGAAACTTGGCTCAGAGATGGGAAGTAACCTGCCCAAGGTCTCAGAGCTACTGAGAAGCAGCGCCCAGATTCCACCGCAGTCGGCCTGAATCCAAAGGCCAAGTTCTCTCCAATACACCAAGGGATTCTCACTAAGGTACTGACGTCCGGTAATGACCCCACTCCCCTGGCTAGCGTTCCTCTGCATCGCTGTGCTCTAGCCCCGAAATGTCCTTCACCGTTCACCTAGCAAACTCCTGCTCATCCCTGCTCAGCATCTCCACCTCCTCCATGCCTCCCCTGATGGCCCAGCACAGCGAGTGGCAGCTGCCTCTGCTGGTCCAGTTCTAGCATTGCTGAGCTGAGCCCGTGGGATGGAGTGTTCAGTTTCCCCGCCTAGCCAGCCAGCTAGGCTTGAGCAGCATGCTAAGGGCCAGGACTGTGCTAATTCACCAGCATCCAACCTGGCACACACAACATTCTCAGAGGAGGTTTGTGACCTAGAGGGACGTGCTGCTGCCTTCTCCAGCCCCTCCTAAGACAGAACCCTTGAAGCCCAGATTGCCGTTTGCACCTTAATTAGCTCGACAGAGATCCATCAGAATTTCCAGCAAACTAAGAGGATCATAAAGACACCTGTAAGGAAGTCTACAGCTGGAGGGCAGGGGAAGGTCCAGCAATTTTGTCGTGTTATGGCGTCTCAGTTTCACTTTGGGTTTCCCTTTCCCAACAGCAGCTGCTCAGACCGCACAGATTCCAGGATGGGCTGAGCAGAGGAGGGAAGACAAAGGCTGCCGACCCACTTACTCTAGCAAATTTGGAACATAGCAAGGAGAGAAATGATTAGTGCTGGCACTAACTGGGAGGCATCACAAACTGAACTAAAGGGCCCAGGGAAATTTGGGTACATACGATAGACATAAAGTCTCTTCCATCCCAGGGGGGTTCCGGGAAGCTGCTTCAACAACTACTAACATTTGTCCAGCCCTAAAAGCAAGGCCCACCACACGTCTGTCAGTTTGTGGTATTGTGGCGGCTTGCGTGTTGGTGAGTTGCTATGATGTTGGAAGCTATACCATCGGTATTTCAAATCCCAGCAGGGTCACCCATGGTGGACGGGTTTCAGCAGAGCTTTCAGACTAAGACAGACTAGGAAGAAAGGACTGGAGATCTACTTCCAAAAATTAGCCAATGAAAACGCTATTGATTACAACAGAATACTGTCAGATATAGCGCTGGAAGATGAGCCCCCTAGATTAAGAGGCACTCGAAATACACAGGAGCTGCAATAATGGGCTGCATATCAATGAACATGAAGATGGCAAAGGACCAGGCAACATTCTGTTCTGTTGTACATAAGGTCACCATGAGTCAGAGTAGACTCCATGGTAAAAACAACAAAAGCAAGGCAATGACACACCCAGAGTGGGGCAGTGGGAGCTGTCCGCCCCGGCTGCAGGCAAAAAGGGGTAGGTTGTCTGTCGAGAATTTAAAAACAATAATAAAACCACAACTCAGTCTGCTTTTGATTATCACCATGTGCTCGCGATTTTAAACACTGTCATTGATGAAATACTACTCCCCAAAAAGATAGTTTATTGATCTAAATGTTAACTAATGGCTGCAGTTACTGTTAAGATTTAATAATATATATGTGAGCCTTGAGTGAGCACACTTTTATTTCTTATTCTTTAATAAACTTTGCCTTCTACATAGAAGTTAATTCAGAGAACACCCAGTTAGTTATACAGTCAGCTTCTAACTCACACAGACTCAGCTACACGTGTCTGTTTCAAGAGTAAGTTCCTAATGGTTGGAGCTAACGTTGGGTAGAGTTTGTGTCTCCAATCCCTGTGGTACTACAGTTTCTGTGTTTAAACAGAAGACAAAGGTGACTAGTCTTAGAGTGCCAGAAAAAAACTAAAAGAGCAATTGTAAAAGCCTGAGTCATTTTCACCAAAAACTAGACATTCATTCTAAAGCAATGGATTAAATGAATGTCAGTATTCACCATCATTCAGCCATTTCCTCTAGTATTTGCAGGAGGAGACAAACTTTGGGAATTTTATCAAATAAGGTAGAAATTTATGATTTTCTGGTGAATATATTTTAGTAGAAATTTTTCAAATATAGAGATATTTAAAAGCCACCAGAAATGATTTTTTAAAAAATAGAGATACGTAGTATTGCAATTTCTGGAATTTTTTATGGAATGTGATTTTTATGTATCTCTGCCAATGTTTAAGGCTTTTCCAACTATTTGAATATCTGTTGTTTCATGCGAAAGATCTTTTTAAAATTAAAACTAATAAAAAGTGTTCTTCAATCAACTGTGAGCTAAGATAGATCGACAAATCTAGCTCTACTGAATATTGAACAGGAATATGCAAAAAAGATCAATTTTGACAAAGACATTGACAATTTTTCAGAAGGTTTGGAGACAGAAACTATGTTATTCTTCATTGCTGCAATCAACCTATACATAGACATAAGTTTTTTCCCTTTTTTCAAAAATACATTGAGACAATTAAAAACTATTAATCCATTATTTTTTTCTGTTTTTTACAGTATAGTTTATTTTCTTTTTCATTTTTTATTGCTTTACTGGCATGATTACATATACAAAGCTCAATAAAAGAAAAGTCTCACTGCCTTTGTTTCTTTTCTGGATATTATTATTATTCCTTTCATGATTGTTACTGGAAATAAAGTTGTCAGAGAAAGGAGAGGAATATTTTTAAATGACCACTCATCCCACTGTCAAACATACTGGGTATGCCCTGATGCCAAGCACTGTGCCAAGCGCTTTACAGAGACTGAAATAATAATAGTGAATTATGAGTGCACACTTAATATGAGGGCAAGGCACTGTTCTGAGCACTTCCTAGGTATTAAATCACAGAATCTGCGTACAAATGGACTCGAAACTTATCAAAGTCCCACAGCAAGTGCTTGCCCAGTGGGGATACACTCCCAAGTGGGTCTACCTCCAAAGCCCCTGCTCTGAACCTCTCTGCCGCTGTTCTGCTAGATGAAAGAGAAGCATCTGCTAAACTCGGGTTGTAATTTCTGAACTACATCACAGGTTGGAAAAAGGAAAAGCAAGACCTGGGAATTTGCTGGCTGGCACTGGTCACAAGGTGAGTCAGCTGAGACCAGAAGCAGCCCCTGCTGTCAGATCGGGGGACACCCAGCCTCCCGGAGCCCGCCCAGGTGTCCTGCTTTGACTCAGGAAGGCAGCACCTGACCCTTGGTGAGAGGCCTTGCTCCTGCCTGCCTTCCTGCTCCTGAAGGTCCTGCCTTCTGCTGAGCTGTGTCAGGGAGGGGAGGCCACCAAACCGGTCCACGCAGGCGCACTGTGGAACAATTCCCACAGGTGGCCCTGACCCACATCTGACACCTGATGCCGGGCAGCTGATGGCGGTGTGGTCCCAAATTCTCAAGGATCTGCTCTTAAGTACTAACTCGGCTTCCTGGCCAACAAGCCACCCTGAAAACACGGTCCCCACCCCGCCCCCACACTTACAATCAGCGCACGCATCTTCTCTCCTGAGCGGACTCTCGATTTCGGGTTGGGTTCGCTTGTTCGGCTGAGTAAGTGCCTGAGGCAGAGGGAGCAAGGATGTACTGTGTCACCAACAGAAAACATCGTACCCAAGACCACGGGGACGGCGGCTGCAGACTGGGAAGCCGTACGGGATTGTCTCTGGTCCCTCCAGGGACAGCCACCTCACGCCCTTAGAGCTTCTCGCTGGCCCCTTCCCTGTCCCGCATTAGGCAGCGAACGAACCAAGGGACCTCTTGAACGGGCAAGGGGTTCGCGCTATACCTGAGAGGAGGGCGAGCAGCCGCAAAAGCGCAGTGTCTGCAGACCTCAGGTCGGCAAGGCCCGGTCAGGGCTGCGCGACTCCTCCCTCCTCCCCGCTGGGTGCGCGCCCGACTTTTTCTCTGCCACACCCAAGCTCTCCGTCGCCCTCACGGCCCTGGGGGCGGGACAGATGCCCAAGCACCTCACCTTCCCAAAGTCACCGACTGAACCGCTCGCCCACCTTGCGGACTTGTGAGGCTGTGCGGCGCCGCAGCAAAGGGAACGGCTTTAATGGCCGCAGGCCCGGCCTTGGCCGGTGTGAGGTCACCCGGCCCCTCCCCACAGAGTTCCCTGCCAAGGCAACAGGGACAGCCTGCTCCAGCCTCTGAGGATGGACAGGCCAGCATGCCTCCGGCTCACCCTGGAGCTTCTCCCCACTCCGCCGTCAGCCCCACGGCGCTCCCTGCAGCCCAACTCCTGGGATGCCTCTCTGCCCGTTCTTCTTTACACTCAGCTGTGTGCGCACCCATGTTGTTAAGCGCAAGTCCTACTGATCTCTGTACACGCATCACACTGTAGTGCAATGGTCTGTTTACTGTCTTTCATTCCAAAGTGGGCTCTTTGAGGGCAGAGACTGGGTCTTAAGCGATCAAATATCCCAAGAACCTTGCACAAAATCTGGCACACCGTAGGTATTCCATGAACGAACGATCGAGTGAATGAATGAGTGACCAAACACAGGCCTCCCCCCCACTGGACTATGCTCCACAAGAGCAGAATCAGCTCTTATTCGCCTCTATATTCCCGCCACTCCAGAGCCAGCACTGCTCCTTGGAGTCAGGCTGCTTGGGCCAAATCCTGGCCCAGCACTGCCACTTACTAGCTGTATGGTCTAGGACACATTTCCCTCTCTGAGCCTCAGTCTGCTCATCTGTAAAATGGGGTGATGATATTCATTAGAATGCATCCCCTAAAAGAAGAGCAATGAATGAGCTGATGCTGATAAAGTGCTGAGCCCGATGCCTGGCACGTGGTAAATACTCTCTGAGGACATGTTGGCTGTTATTAGTAACATGAGAAAATGGCACGTGCTCATAAACATCATATGGTATTCATCAGCTTCCCTGCAAGTAGAGTCAGAGACAGTATAAATACCAGAGCTTGTGTGCATTATTACTCTCCCCAAAAATTGTTGAGTATATTAAGCAAGTGGATATCTGTGAGGCAATCCAAAACCAAGATGAAATAGAGGAAACCAGGCTGACTTTTGCCCCTCCTTACCGTCTGCTTCCAGAATTGCCCAGACATTATCACCTCCTTTATTTTTCTTTTTCCTGTTGCTCTGCCAGGAAAAAAAAAAAAAAAAAAAAGCTTATTGGGGAGGAGGGGCCAAGGCTATATATTTTTACCTTTCACAGGGCTCTCAAAAAGAGCTCTATGGGAAAGACCCCAGGACTTACTGAGAAATTACCACACGATGCTGGTATTGTCCCAAACAAGCCGTCCCTAACCCCCATATCCATTCCATCACCACTGTACAGGTAAAGAGCCATGCTGGGTTCAAACCCATATCTAACTCCAAAGCCTCCAGTCTTTCCCATATGCCACAGCTTCAGAATCCCACTCTTCTTCATGTGGGGGGGGGAGGGGATATTAATTGGTAAGTATGTACAATCTCCCTTTATTCTCTGCCTTCTAAAGACCATGAATTCTCGATGAAATCCATTGTTTTGCTGAGTGTTTGAGGAAGGAGTACCTGAGCAAATGGGAGAAATAAGGCTAAGAGACCCTGTAGGGAAACTGAGCAAGTAGGGTGGGTTCTGAGAAGCAAGGCCAGGGCAGAAGGAAAGGGGAAGAGGCTATTTTTCAATGCCATGTTTACACACAGAAGCTGAATCCATAGAAACATTTAGTGATAAGGGTTTCTGTTGCTTAACAGCAAAATATAAGCGTTCCTCGGGGGAAAAGTGCTCTATCAGACAACCACACACAGTCAAGAACTCCTTACTGAAGAGAACAAAACCCTACTGAGACCCCGAAGAGTTTCTGCTACATAAATATGCAATGCAACCATCTCACTTCCTCTTAGAAGAACATTCCATGACTTTTAACTGGGGAAAAGACTGATGGCTAGTGACTAGAGGAACTCAAATGTCATCATCGGGCCTCTTAAGTGTGCAGTAGTCACATCATCTGCTCTCACAGATGGTTTTCCTTCATGCTGCAGGAGAGGCAGGAACAAATAGTTTCAGGCAACACCATCCCACTTTAACGTCCCTAGAGGAAAGTGACATTTTGACCTACACCCTATTTAAAACAACTATGTACGTATATGTATGTGTATGTGTACAGCTTCATCCCAAAAAGGTTTCTGACTTGTCCGGCTTGGGTCATATACTCTTTTCACAGTCAATCACTTTAGCCTGGGGGTTGGGGTGCGACAGTCAGCCACACCTAGATCACATGTCTCCCTCTAGCCAGGGTGATGGGGTACTGTGTTTGGCAGTTTCACCAGAAACCCTGATGGTGTAGTGGTTAAGTGCTATGGCTACTAACCAAAAGGTCAGCAGTTCAGATTCACCGGGCACTCCTTGGAAACTCTGTGGGGGCAGTTCTACCCTGCTTTATGGGGTGGCTATGAATCAGAATTGACAGCAATGGGTTGTTGTTTTTATAGATGGGGAGAAGTCAAGCAAGCTATGATTTGTCTTCAGTGCACTGGCATTCTTGCCTTTGGTTATTGTAAACCAGATTACAGGAATAAATCCCACTCTAATTGATTTAAGCAAAAAAAAAAAAGTATTTGGAACGGCTCATGCAACTGAATGTCCAGGGGCAAAACTGATATCAGTCACTAAATCCCGTTAAAACCCCTGTTGCCATCAAGTCGATTCCAACTCATAGTGACCCTATAGGACAGAGTAGAACTGCCCCATAGCGTTTCCAAAGAGTGCCTGGTGGATTCGAACTGCCGACCTCTTGGTTAGCAGTTAAGCTTTTAACCACTACACCACCAGGGCTCCCTGCCATCCATACATGACCACTTTTCCCACCCTGGTCCTTCCTTCTCCCCAGCATGATGAGGGAATCAACATTCTGCTGGTAGTACCAAAGTATTTAATCCATGTTCTTCCAGTACTCTCTACATCACATTAACCTGTGAGTTCACCTCTCCTCTATTAGACTGTAACAGAGCTCAAGTGCACCATCAGGGAAGGATGGAAGGATGAGTGGATGGAGGCTGCTGACCCAACCCAGTGTATGTCTCAAACTAAGGAAGAAATAATTTTACTATGGGGCTAAATGGAGCATGCCAAGCCAGTAGGCAACATTTGAGAAGTCCTATGCAACCTCCCACATCTGTAAGTTTGTTGTGGGTGGCATGGGTTTTGAGAAGCAAGGCCAGGGCAAAATGGGGAGAGGCTCTTTTTCAATGCTGTGTTTACACACAAGGAGCAGAATCCATAGAAACATTTAGCGATAAGGGTTTCTGCTGAGTAACAGCGAAATATAAGCGCTCCTCAGGAGAAAAGTGCTCTATCAGCCAACCACACACAGTCAAGAACTCCTTACTGAAGAGAACAAATCCCTGAAGAGTTTCTGCTACATAAATGTGCAATCAAACCATCTCACTTTGACTTTTAACTTTCCATGACTTTTAAGTTTGTTGTACTGTGGTGGCTTGCATGTTGCTGTGCTGGAAGCTATGCCACCCATATTTCAAATATCAACAGGTCACCCATGGTGGACAGGTTTCAGCGGAGCTTCCAGACTAAGACAGACTAGGAAGAAGGACCTGGTGGTCTACTTCTGAAAAGATTGGTCAGTGAAAACCTTTTGAATAGCAGCTGAACATTGTCTTATCATCCAGTGCTGAAAATGAGCCCTTCGGGTTGGAAGGCAATCAAAATAGGACTGGCGAAGAACTGCCTCCTTAGAGTCCACCTTAACGACATGAAGTCAAGCATTTGGGACCTTCACTTGCTGATGTGGTATAACTCCAAACGAGAAGAAACAGCTGCAAACATCCATTAATAATCAGAACATGGAATGTACAAAGTATCAATTCAGGAAAATTGGAAGTCGTCAAGAATGAAATGGAACACAAAGTGAGCTGAAATGGACTGATATTGGTCATTCTGAATCACACACTCATATGATCTACTATGCTGGGAATGACGAAGAGGAATGGCGTTGCATTCGTCGTCAAAAATAACATTTCAAGACCTATCCTGAAGTACAATTCTCAGCGATAGAATAACATCCATACGCCAACAAAGACGACCAGTTAATACCAGTATTATTCAAACTGACCCACCAACCACTAAGGCAAAATACGAAGTTTTTACAAACTTCTGTAGTCTGAAATTGATCAAATATGCAATCAAGGTGCATTGTTATTGGTGACTGGAATGCAAAAGCTGGAAACAAACAAGGATTGGTAGAGGGAAAATACGACCTTGGTGATAGAAACGACGGAGATCACACGACAGAATTTTGTAAGACCAATGACTTATTCACTGCAAATAACTTTTTTCAACAACATACACAGCAACTATACACATGGACCTCACCGGATGGAAAACACAGGAATCAAATCGACTACATCTGTGGAAAGAGATGACAGAAAAGCTCAATATCATCAGTCAGAACAAGGCCGGGGCTGACTGTGGAACAGACCATCAATTGTTGATAACACAAGTTCAAGCTGAAGCTGAAGAAAATTAAAACAAGTGTGCAAAAGCCAAAATACAATCTTGAGTATATGCCACCTGAATTTGGAGACCATCTTAAGAATAGATTTGACACATTGAACACTAATGACCAAAGACCAGACAAGTTGTAGGATGACATCAAGGACATCATCCATGAAGAAAGCAAAAGGTCATTAAAAAGACAGGAAAGAAAGAAAAGACCAAAATGGATGTCAGAAGGGACTCTGAAATTTTCTCTTGAACAGAGTAGCTAAAGAGAATGGAAGAAATGAAGTAAAAGAGCTGAACAGAAGATTTCAAAGGATGGCTCAAGAAGATCAAGTATTATAATGAAATGTGCAAAGACCTGGAATTAGAAAACAAAAAGAGAAGAACACGCTTGGCATTTCTCAAGCTGAAAGAACTGAAGAACAAATTTAAGCCTCGAGTTGCAATTTTAAAGGATTCTATGGACAAAATATTGAACGATGCAGGAAGCATCAAAAGAAGATGGAAGGAATACACAGAGTCACTGTACCAAAAAGAATGTCGACGGTCAACCATTTCAGGAGGTAGTATATGATCAAGAACCGATGATATTGAAGGAAGAAGTCCAAGCTGCACTGAAGTCACTGGCAAAAAACAAGGCTCCAGGAATTGACGGAACACCAATCGAGATGTTTCAATAAACAGATGCAGCACTGGAGGTGCTCACTCGTCTATGCCAAGAAATTTCGAAAACAGCTACCTGGCCAACTGACTGGAAGTGATCCATATTTGTGCCCATTCCAAAGGAAAGTGATCCCACAGAATGCGGACATTATCGAAAAGTATCATTAATATCACACGCAAGTAAAATTATCCTAAAGATAATTCAGCAATGGCTGCAGGAGTACATCGACAAGAGAACTGCCAGAAATTCAAGCCAGATTCAGGAGATGACGTGGAATGAGAGATATCATTGCTAATGTCAGATGGATCGTGGCTGAAAGCAAAGAATACCAGGAAGATGTTCACCTGTTTTTACTGACTATGCAAAGGCATTCAACTGTGTAAATCATAACACACTACGGATAACACTGCAAAGAATGGGAATTCCAGAACACTTAATTGTGTTCATGAGGGACCTGTACACAGACCAAGAGGCAGTTGTTAGAACAGAACAAGGGGATACTGCATGGTTTAAAATCAAGAATGGTGCGTGTCAGGGTTGTATCCTTTTGCCATACTAATTCAATCCGTATGCCGAGCAAATAATCTGAGAAGCTGGACCCCATGAAGAATAGGGCATCAGGATTAGAGGAAGACTCATCAACAATCTGCAATGTGCAGATGACACAACCTTGCTTGCTCAAAGTGAAGAGGACTTGAAGCACTTACTGATGAAAGATCAAAGACTACAGCCTTCAGTACGGACTACATCTCAACATAAACAAAAATCCTCACAACTGGACCAATAAGCAACATCACGATAAACGGAGAAAACACTGAAGTTGTCATCGATTTCATTTTACTTGGATCCACAATCAACACCCATGGAAGTAGCAGTCAAGAAATCAAGCGATACTGCATTGGGCAAATCTGCTGCAAAAGTCCTCTTTAAAGTGTTAAAAAGCAAAGTCATCACTTTGAGGACCAAGGAGCACCTGACCCAAGCCATGGTGTTTTCAATCGCCTCATATGCATGCAAAAGCTGGACAACGAATAAGGAAGACTGAAGAATCGATGCCTTTGAATTACGGTGTTGACGAAGAATACTGAATATACCATGGACTGCTAGAAAAAAAAGTCTGTTTTGGAAGAAGTAGTTTTCCTTGGAAGCAAGGATGGCGCAACTTTGTCTCATGTACTTTGGACATGTTATCAGGAGGGACCAAACCCTGGAGAAGGACATCATGCTTGGTAAGATAGAGGGTCAGTGAAAAAGACCCTCAATGAGATGGACTGACACAGTGGCTGCAACAATGGGCTCAAACATAGCAATGATTGTGAGGATTGAGCAGGACTGGGTGGTGTTTCATTCTGTTGTACGTAAGGTCGCTATGAGTCGGAATCAACTTGCTGGCACCTAACAACATGCAGCCTCCCACCCACCTTCAAGGTTGCCAACGAAAGGCAAAGCTTACAGTAGAGCTTTGCTCTCCCACTATTAAAAAAAAAAAAAAATTTACTCCAGATGGGGCAACCAAATGAAAGTGCTACAAATTCAAGGGTCCTCACAGATCCATGTTGCTGTAAGTTGGCTTTTAAGCAACACTGTCAACAGCACAGCCTTCTCCAACACTATACTACTAAGATTGTTTTCTAGGACGAAGAAAGCCAACTAACCGAAACCATATTACCACCACTGCCTTTGATACCTAGTTAACCATTCCCTGAGAGATCCTATTTCTAATTCAGCTTGCCAAGTCCAAATCAACTTATTTCACAGGTCTTCTCATATTAAAGAACAGAGAAAAGAAAAAGCAGATAACATGTTGTGATCTTTATTCCATTAAATGACTTTACAACTAACAGTGAAACAGAAACATGCTTTTAATATACCAACAGCATAATCTCATCCTTTTGCACTTTTTAAAAACTATAAAGTCATTCAAAGGTAAGGGTCTAGCATAAAGTACTTTAAAAAAATCATTTTTTTTAAAAAACAAAAAGCAATCTGACAGGAAACTGTGATCATGAGTAATATTAACTCCTTAAAGACTCAAGTCAATGGCAGCATTTATTCATCTAAATCAGAAAGCTTTGGGAAACAAATGCAACTTTTCCTTTGTCATAAAATGCATTTAATTTTTAGTTCTGGCACATGAAATTCCTTCCCAAGGAACAAAAATTTTTCAAAATCTTTTGGACTCCATCTATTTTTAAAAGTTTATGATATGGGGTACTTTTGTCCTTAATTATCAAAGTTATGATCCTGTCATTCTTTCTTGTTCATTATCTTTATTTGTGGTTTAAAGTTTTATGTATGTGTGTGAGAGATTTAGGAATTCAAGTCACAGTGCTGAATTTTGCTTTTTAAAAGGAAAAATGGCTATCAAATTTTTTTTTTTATTTTAATTACATCTATTAGTAAATAGGATACTTGTACATCAGGTTTCAGAGAAGGCACTATGACATCTTAATTTAGAAAAACAGCTTTGAGGAGCTTATACAATCCTCTGGATTATAAAGCATCCTTATTAACCTGAACATAGTAAACTCTCAGGGATTGTATCTGGCAATAGATCACCGGTTCTGTACCTCAGGTAAAAGCTGTCCACTTATTCCCAGACAACGGTGAATTGCACCTTCTCATTGGTACTTCCCATCCCATGGAGCAGTTTCTCTCACTGTGGTCTCTCAACAACCTGTTTATAAAAACAGTGATTCCAGAGCCACAGCCCAGACCGACTGAGGCAATCCCTGGGTATCAAGATGGGAATATGAATTTTTAAACAAACCTGTTAGGAAGTTTTATGTACTCCAAGGTAGATGAGAACCACTACCCAAAACATAGTTACAATATAACTTCATCACTACATAAGAAAAAATATTCAATTGCAAATTCTTTTAAATGGGTTTCTTAACGTCATTAAAAAAAAAATCACATAAATGGTCTGTATTTTCATAACTGAAGTTTGTCTTCATCATGTCCTTTTTCCTTGACTAAAATTCTGTTGGATCCAAATGTAAGCCAAATGATGTAGTCCACCGTTGGCTACCTTAAATGGAAATGTCAAATCATCTCAATTACATTTCAAGAATAATTCTGCGAAAACATCCATGTAAATTACACTGTTTAAAAAATAAAACCCTAGGAAAAAATAAACCTCTTGCCTGGACTTGAAAAGACCTACTTGATTTCTCTATAACTCATATGGCGTATATGCTTATCCAAACTCACCCTATCTAAGGCACCATTTTTATAATCCATGTGAACATTAGGTATGATCTGCTGAAGAAAGAGACTGCCAGTGCAGGGCAGTTTTTTGTTTGTTCGTTTGCCCAAAGCATTTTATTTCATGTAAGAAAAAAGAGAACAAGTAAAACAATTAACATTTGCAGGCAAACAGACAACACATAAAGTTGGTGTTAATACAAACCTCCATGGAACAGATTTCTTAGTACACTGCTAAAATAAGGTATGACTCTGAAGATGGTTTTATGATCATACCTGATAGTTTTGTCCTCGTATTTTATCTACAAACTAAACTAGAAAGATTTCTCAGTATCACTTTGATTCTATTATTTTTACTGTAAGAAGCTAATTGGAAGAAGGAAAAAAAACTTAGCAACATTTAACTTCCCTGAAATGAGTTATTTGAATAGAAAATTTTGGAGACTTCCATCTACACATTAATAGGAATGTGCTTCATATATCGTTAGGAATGTGCAAATTAAAAATACCTGCGTGGAAAGGCCAGCCAGGAGTGGCAGAGCAACAAACACTGAACCATCACTCACATCTGCACTCCTAAGAAATGTCCCTGACCCACAAACTAAAGGCTGAGGGAAGTTAAGAAGTAAAAGACATTCTCTTCAACCTGGCAATAAACATCCCTATGACTACCATAGCCAGCAATGAGAATGCATCTCTTACAAAAAAAAAAAGTTGGTATAAAACCATCAATTTATTGTTAAGAGAGAAGAAAGGCCAAAGAAAGTTCCTAAGAACTCTTACTGTGGTAACTTTCTAAACAGTTTCCAGAGGCAGGTAAAGACAAAAATAAGGCTTCCCCAGAGTGATTAAACCAAGGTCACTCTTTTGTAAGACCAAAAGAGAAATGGTAAAATTAAACAGTAACTAAATCCTAAGATTTAATTAAATCATACATTGTCACATATTTAAAAAAAAGATTAATACTTTTAATACTTCAGTATTAGAATGCATTTTGGACATATCATCTTTTCTCACCAATAAAAGCAGGACTGCTTTTGACAGTTAATTATTCTGAAATCTATAAATTTGCTTGTAAAATACATTTAAAAAGCTAAGTATCTGAACACCTATAAGGCCTACTAGTAAGATGAGAGGCCACCTGAAAATGCATAAAATCTTAGTAGCAAACTTTCAATTTAACAGTCAAAGCTTAGCATCATTGGTAAGCAATTAACAGTTCTTAGAACAAGCCTAAAGTTTGCTAAGATTTAATGGGCCAAGTGAATAAAATAGCATGAACTTCAGGACAAAGTAGTAGGTAAATAAGGAAAAAAACACAGAATGCTTGGAATTAATTCAGGACTTATAAAAACACCTCTGAGGTAATAGGTTAAAGTGGTCAAAAGAAAATTCTTTGATAAAGCAATTACGTGCTAATTCCCCTACCTCCCATTCATACTTCATGTGTATAAAATTTACACTCAGATTTTAATTAGGTCTTCCTATCTCTCTCCCACAATAAAAATTAAATTATCTTGAAAAATTAAGGCTCATACACCTGAATGTTTGCATAAATACTTGTGGGCTAGTTTTAAGAAGTTTTAAAATCCATAATAATTCACCATTACAAATCAAAGGAAAAGACAATCAAATAAAAATTTTTCGTAACACAATCAAGGTAAACAAAAAAGAATTCTTAGATATTTCTATATGTTGTCTGTACTTGGGTAGGACTTTGGTCCTTACTAAGCCAAAGCTATTTTAAAGCTACCAGACTAGTGGCAAGTAAAGTTAAATAAAGGAAGATGTACTAAATAAAGTTGATAATTACAGCTTCCTTATTAAAAATATATTAGATAGTGCATAGGAGAACGCAAATAAACATTGTGGACAAAGACCTGAATTGCTGCTATGCCACACGAAATAACGACATCAATTAAAGGCAGTAATATTTGGTAAAGTTTTTCCTCTAATCCTTAATAAGTCCTTATGCAGAACTCTCAAAAGACAATTGTGTGTGAAAGTCATGTATAATCTATATACATATACAAACCTATAAACAGCGAATCTGACCAAGGCACAAGTTCAAGTGACTTATCAGAGGTCACGTGGTTCATTTAAAATCGGACTTTTTTTCTCAAAACATCCAGCTCACTCCTTTTATTATGAGCCACTCTGGCTTTTACAGGCCTGTTTGCCCTCTTTTCTAGAAAGAAGCTACAAGAATGAAGGCAAAAAACAGAGCATGCTGCAACATAATATTCAGCCTGTCAGGTAAAAGATCTTAAACTTCAGAGTATGGTATATTTAAATATGTGATTTTTCTATACTATATGGCAAATAGGATTTTCTGATAATATAGTTAAGATTTTTATAGTATACTGGCATTGTTTTCTGCCAGTCTTTAGTTCTGAAGCTTTTGCAAGTTTGGTAAACCTTAAAAAAAGGAATCCTACTCAAAAGAGTAGGGTATAAAAGAACTGGTAAGTTACACCTCAAAATGGCATCCTCCTTGAGGTTATCCTCCATCCCTTCCCCATCGTGTCCACACAATCATGGATTCAATCTTAAAAGGCACTAAGTGGCACATAAAGGACTTAAAGCTACATTACATTTTCTCCTTTAACTTTTTCCCCATAAAGTGCACAAAGCAGAGAGCATTAAGAAAACAGACATAGGCTTGGGTCTACATCAGCAAGGAAAGCAATGCTTCCAGCAGAAATGGAAGTGTGTTTAAGAAGTGGAAACCACAGGAGAGGTCTGTTTCATTTATTACAGTCCGTGTTTCAGCTCTTCCTGGATGGTCTCACATCTGCCATTTCCTCTGGAATCGGACCTGTGGCCACGGCAGAAACCCAGAAATCAGTGGGGGCTGGTCAGGTTCTTGTTGGATCCTCACGTTAAGATGTTATTGAGCTTTTTTATCCACCGGTTGTTTCCCAACAATTGCATCCCTCAAAGCCGCCTGAGTGGAATTACACATATAAGAAGTAGCCTGCAAGAGTCCATTTAGTCACACATCAGTTACTGAAATACAACACAATATCAAGAAATAAGTCCTTTGAGATAACTGTCAAAAATCTGTCTCCACTGGTGCTATATACCAGAAGTAGGGAATGAAAATGCATGTGTGAGGGGAGGCTGTGGCATTTGCTTTCTTATGGGGATGGAGTAGGCAGTTCACTTGGCTTCATCACAAGCTTCTGGCCTAACTGGTCTGTCTGTGCTACTGAGAAAACAAATAAACCAGAGGCTCAAGGATCTCTAAGGCAGGATCATGTCAATGTCAAAAAGCCACTGGTTTTTTGAAGGTCTTAAAGAGATGGCAGTCACTTTTTAACCTAATAGGACTCAAAACAAAACTCTGTTCAGTTTTCAAAGCTGATTTTCAGTGAAGCAAACTAATCTTGGGGGTAAAAACACAGGAAATGCACCTGAAGAGCATATAACTGGAAGCTTCCTGTGAGAAGTACCGTATGTCTAAAATGGAACTTCATTTGCATGAAAGAGCATTTTTAGGCAGGGAAGCAAAGTATTAGGAATAAATATTAATATCCTTGAGAAGGATAAAAAAACAACACCTATCAGGGAAAAAAATGGCCAGGGAAGTTTCTCATGCCTTTTTTCACAATGAAATTCTTTCAAACGGAGATATTTCACAATACAAGCACAAACATCTGTTCATTATCAACCTTTAACCTCTTCAGCCAGCACCACTTACCTGCTCTAATACGTACGATGCACCGTTATCAATAGCTCCACCCAGCTCACGATATTCACCAGAATACCTGATATAACCCCAGGTGAGCAGCGCTATTAACAGCAGTCCAACCATACAGTTGAACAGCTGGGCCACAGCCTCAAGACCAACAAAGTGAGCAAAGGCCGAGGCTATGTATAAAGCCACAATGCCTGTGAACAGCACCGCAGGGGTGCGGAAGGTGCTGAAGACATTCTTGCTAGCATTGTGCTTGATGAAGTTCTCATAAAGTTCCTTGATTTCCTCTTCTAGCTCCTCCTGGTAACGAAGGCTGAAATCTTTCCCACCCATCTTCTTGGTCTTTTTAAAATGGTCCAGAGCAAGTTGTTTGAATTCACCGTGCTTTTCTTCTAAAATGTCTGGACACAAATAAGGTTTCTCTCCCCCACAAACCTAAAAAGAACAAAGATGTTTAAGATCCCTTCAAAAACAAGTGCCAAATAAAATAAACAAGTGAAAAGACACTCAAAAGGTTAGAATATTTTAAGATATTAGAAATTAAAACGATGATCAAGACCAATAAAGTCTGGGTTCACATCATCTGAAAAGCACATTTAAATAACCAGGGTGATACGGATCAGAGAGCAGTGACACTGTAAGAAAGACTTGGCTAGAAACTAGAATTATTAGATCTCAATCACCAGGGCATTATGAACACAGCTTTGTTGCCTCATCCTCTTAAGACAGATTACAAGTCCCTGATGGAGCAGGAGAAAAGTGGGGTGCAGAATTCAAATTCTAGTAAAAAGACCAGACTTAATGGTCTGAGACTGGAGGAACCCCGGAAACCATGGCCCCCGGACTCTCTGTCCACCCAGAACTAAAACCATTCATGAGGCCAACTTTTCAGACAAAGATTAGACTGGACTATGGGACATAAAATGATACTCGTGAAGAGTGTGCTTCTTAGCTCAAGTAGATACAGGAGACTAAATGGACAGCTCCTGTCCGGAGATGAGGTGAGAAGGCAGACAGGGTCAGGAGCTGGTTGAATGGACATGGGAAATCGGGGGTGGAAAGGAGGAGTGTGCTGTCACAGTATAGGGTGAACAATTAGGGTCACATAACAATGTATGTATAAATTTTTGTATGAGACACTAACTGGAATTGTAAACTTTCACTTAAAGTACAACAATAAAATAAAATAAAATACAGATAGATTACACATAGGATTGAGTTTGGCCTTCTGAAATTAGCAACAATGTCCAGGTTATAGATATTTCAAAATCAGGCATATGCCACACATACCTCCTCCATGTTGTTATAATAAATGTCCTTGGCAGAGGCTGCAGCTGCTAAATTGTTGGCTTCAGCAGTGGCCTTTTAAGAAAGGAAATCGTGAACTATAAATCCTTCTTTTTAACATTCTCCCACAAATAAGTGAGTGAAACTTTTCTCTCATCCTCTTCCTCATTCTTCCTTTTTTACTATCCATCTGCTATCTTTTAATTTTCCATATAGTCCAGTTTATGAAATAAAGTATATCTTTTCTGCCAAAAAAAATCTAATATTTTATACATAAGAATCGTTAGCATAAATTAAACCTCCAAAAATAAAAGGAAAACATAATTTTCTTGTCTTCAATACTTAAATGCAACAAATAGATCTGAGCCAAGAAAGAAAAATTTGTCTTTATGATATTAGTTCACATTTTGTGAAAATGTTTTGCTACTAAAGAAATAAACATTTGATAATAATTGGACTTAGGTTCAGCACAGGAAAATCAGAATTTATGTCAAAACAAATTTTTCTAGTTGAGGACAAAAAAAAAAAAAAAAAAAAAACCCTGATGAGTAAATAAAGTATGTCATGACATGTTCTACTTAAGAAGACAACAGATAATGGGAAGATGAGTTGTCTAACATAATCAGACATGTTTTACCTGGGTATACTAAAACTGTGTTTGGTGAGAGACCAGGCCCCGTGAGGAGTGGCCATTCTGTTTTAACTGTACCACCAGGAATACAAACAAGAAAACCAGATGGCCAAGCTACCGCAAAATGTGCTAAAAACTAACAGACCTCAGGCTTATTCCAGCATAATGGGAAAGGACAGCAATAGCATTCTATTTGTAAAGGGCTCTGCTTATTGTATACGCATCAACTCAATTCATCAAAGGATATCATGCAGGATGTCAAAGAACTGCTTACCTGAAGCATGGATTTGGGGTGAGGCAGATCTTCTCCTTGGTAAATTTTAATATATGCCTTAGAATATAAACATTAAACGACTATTAGAAATAGGATCCTGTCCTATTTTATTCGTACTTTAGCTTTAAAAAAAGGTGACCATTACAAGTGCATTTTCTTACAGACCTAGATCAACAACCAGGAATTAGCAAAAACGCAACACACCTTTGAGTGCATGTTAGTGGTTTTGGTTAACTAAAATAACTAAAAATATTCTCAAGCAGCACAAGCCTACAAAGGCTAGGATGTCCATCAGACTCCCCATGCACACTGGCCACACCACTACCTGTGGGCAGAGTGACCTTCTGCCTTGAGGTAGTCAGGTCACATCTAGGTGCTGTCTCCTCCTACTCACAGCAACTTCCTAACCATCTCCTGTTCACATCATCTTCCTTAAGGAGCCATCTTCCGTTAGTGACAGTAATTACTCCTCTAAGAAAGTGCAAAGAACATCCATTTGGTTCTTACATAGATACTGCCACCCAGTGGCTCACTCCTGGAAGGACACAGAGGTCTCTGAAAATGCCCTTCACCATCTCCCCCAGGAAATGTTCTCCTAAGCTTTGAAATACTGAAATTCAAGTTACATAGAGTGCAAAGAACATCCATTTGGTTCTTAGACAAATACTGTCACCCAGCGGCTCACTTCTGGAAGGACACTGAGGTCTCTGAAAATGCTTCTCATCAGCTCCCCTAGGGAACTTTACCCTAAGCTTTAAAATACTAAAATTTGAGTTACTTTACATCCTACATCAGTTTAACCAAAAAATCAAACATTTTAAAATTAAAACTCATATTTACCTTAAAGTACTCCAGTAGTCCCCGACAGGTGACTTTTGAGCCATTGATCTCCTTTTCCATTAAGTTAGATGGGTCTAATACAAATGGTATCAGTGTCTGTAACTGGTCTTTGAATTCACTGGCAATATCTGTTCACAGGACCATAAGTAATGAAGGATAACAAGTAATAATAAGCCAAACAGCCTTATTCAACTAAAGTGAGCATAAAATACAATCTTCACAGTCTACCTAATTACTTCAACATTTGGTAGTTGCAAGAGTTAACATTTGCTGGGGAAGCAGGGTCCCAGACTGTGTGTATCTGACATTTTTTGGCTATCATAAATCTCTATCCTAATGTACCTTTATTTCTCTCCATCCTTTCTGCACTATAAAGTGGTCTCTAGTCCAGAATACAATACTATGTAGAGGGTTCCTTAACCTGGTTTTCATTCTGGTATATTCAGTCTACTCCCCTGCCCATCAAGAAACTTCACATTTTAAAGAATTTCCATAAACAAGGTCTTCAAAATACCAACTATCAACTCCTCAAGTTGTCTCAGGCCCTTGCCAGGCCCTTGCCTAGCCCTCGCACTAACCCTTAAACAGAAATCACTATTTATCTTTTTGCTTTATTTTTGTTAATTTTTAATGTTAAAAGTAGAGGCACATCTGTGCCTTACGATACAGTGAAACCTGCAAGCCGGAACTTGACAGAACTGCCTTGTTTTTCCAGGTCTCGCAAGTTTTCCACCTTTGACAGACTGCAGTCTTACCACTTTCCTATCGCTCTCTACTAGTGGAAAATATTTTAGTTTTCCTTCTCTGACAGGTTTCCACCTTACACGCATTCCAGCTTTCACGGGTTTTTCTGTATTTACTTCCTATTACCTCCTCAGAGGCCCTCTGGGCCACCACAAGGCCCTCCTGACTGAAAAGACTACCATCTCAGGAAGACAACAGATTCTTAGCAGCTTCTGCAAAGTTTCCACAGAGGGTTCAGGAGAGCTATTTCCTCATAAGTAGTCCAACTATGAGGAAATTAAAACTCAAAGAATTAGATTTATATAATCTTCTAACATCTTCCTGGGTTCCCAATTAACTCAAACTATCAACTGAAAAGAAAGTAGATGGGTTCCATATCAACGTGGAACTCTTCAATGCAATCCTTCCATAAACCTAATTGATAAAATTGAGACAGAAAGTTTATTGGGGATTACTACTCATGGGAGAATAAAGGAAGCCAGACTGGGAAGAGAGATGGTGAGCTATGATGTAGTAAATATAAGGCCTCAGCTGATCCCAGAGGGTGCTCTGAAGCTGCAATGGCCCATCTGAGTTGTCCCAAGTTGGGGCAAGGAGGCCAGGCCTTTACATCCTTGCCTCAGCCAGTCACTGGACACGGGCTACCCTAAGAGCCTGTCTCATGACAGAAACAACCTCAATCTTTCACGGTGTCAAAGAAGACTGTGCCCTACAAGCCCTTCTGTTTTAATTCCCAGCTAGCCAACTCAGGACAGCTACTGCATTAGGTCTCCCTGTTATAGTAAATAGGAAAAACAGTTTTCTTTATACTGTTGACACAGTCATCCTGTATCTGATGAAAAGGGGTCTCAAAAAGCAGCTAATCCTCTAGCTGATTCTTTCAAGAAGCAGCAGCTCAGCACTGATTACACTAAAATTAAGATCAGCGTGTGCAGCAGGTGTTCACCTCTGAATAAACGGTCAACCTTTAAATGAAAAAATAAACAAACCCACTAAAACAATTCCTAAACTATTTGGGTTAACATTTTCCAGAAATACCTTTAGAATGTAGTTCTAACTAAATTAAATTTCTTGTTCTAGAAAAACTATAATAAGGTCTTTTTATAGATTAGCCCTAAACATTCTGAGGATAATGTTGTCTTTTCTGTTATATGGATATCAACCAAATAACTGTACAACTACACACTGGAGAAAATACAAGTTCCAGGTTTTTTAGGGTTTTTTAACCCTGAGAAATACATCAGTTCTACTTAACAGGTCCCCCACAATAAAGTGTGTGTGGTTCTTAATCTAGTACCTGCCAAGTACTCCCAAGTCACCTGCTATTTGCAACTTAGCATCCAATTTACTCACTGAAAAACCTTCAAAATCTTGTTTAAAAGGTTCTCTAAAATTACAAAATACCCATCTTTAAAGTTTAAAAGTACATAAACCTTACAGAGTTAATAATTTTTCACCAACAATCTTCATAATAGCTGTAGTTCCTTAAACAGACACACAAGGGCAGACTACTAGCATTTTTAAAGTGAGGTACAAATACGAAACAGTTTTTTTTCCCCACGTTCCCCTTTAAAAGTATATTTATAAATATATATTTTTTAAATAAACAGGGTCATACAACATATGCTACATGGTAATCTTTTTACATTTTAAATACATATAGATCCATCCATCCATATAGATCCTTTTGAATGATGGCATTTTATTCCTTTGTGCAAATGTACTATAATTTAACCAATACCTCATAAACACACTTCTAGGCTGTTTCCAATTGTTCCCTATTATAAATACTGCAGTAACATACTTCCTTGTGCATACACTTTTATCCACTTATTCGGATGGTTCCTTAGGATAAATTCCTAAAAGTGTTGGCAACTCAACTGGACCTCTAAAAATGGCAGCCATTATTACAATTTTACTGGGAAACTGAGAAGCTCAGGTAAGTTTATAAACAAAAGTGTTCAGTGTAATTCATGTGTAAACTGAGCATCAGTCATTAAATGACTCAAGGTCTGGATTAATAAGGAACAAAAAGACAATGGAACCCAAGAGTCCCAACTCTGACTCCTATAACCTACCCTCTAGTTAGCACTTCCTGATATTAACACATGACCTAGCATCAGGTTATGCTATAATCACAAGTAAGACAAAAACAAGTTATGCCATGCAGCATGTTACCATCCCTTAGGGAGTTAATTTCACCTGATAAATATTAGCTGACGTGCGTTTAACCAAACCAAGCCTGTTGCCGTCAAGTTGATTCCAACTCATAGTGACCCTATAGGGACGTGTGTTTAGACTTCCTTTATTTAGCATTTTTGTTATCTTTGTAAACCAATAATCATGTCTCCAAGAAAGATCATTAATGGATACTACCACAAACATTTCAGATGGAACAACCGAGATGAACTAATTTTTTTCTTTATTGTGCTCTAAATCAAAGTTTACAAATCAAGTTAGTTTCTCATACAAAAATTTATACACACACTGCTATGTGACCCTAAATGCACTCCCCATACTGTGACAGCACACCCCTCTTTCCACCCTGGATTTCCCGTGTCCATTCAACCAGCTCCTGTCCCTTTCTGCCTTCTCATCTCACCTGCGGACTGGAGCTGCTCATTTAGACTTATGTATCTACTTGAGCTAAGAACCACACTCTTCACGAGTATCATTTTATGTCTTATAGTCGAGTCTAATCTTTGTCTGAAGAGTTGGCCGCAGGAATGGTTTTAGTTTTGAGCTAACAGAGAGTCCAGGGGCCATGTATTCTGGGGTCCCTCCAGTCTCAATCAGACCATTAAGTCTAGTTTGTTTGTTTTTTTTACTAGAATTTGAGTTCTGCACTCCACTTTTCTCCTGCTCCATCAGGGACTCTCTGTTGTGTTCCCTGTCAGGGTGGTCATTGGTGGTAGCCAGGCATCATCTAGTTCTTCCAGTCTCAGGCTGATGGAGTCTCTGCTTTATGTGGCCCTTCTGTCTCTTGGGCTAACATTTTCCTTGTGTCTTTGGTGTTCTTCATTCTCCTTTGCTCCACGTAGGTTGGGACCAATTGATGCATCTTAGATGGCCGCTCACTAGCTTTTAAGACCCCAGATGCCACTCACCAAAGTGGGATGCATAGCCTTTTCTTAATAAACTTTGTTATGCCAATTGATCTAGATGTCCCCTGAAAGCATGGTCCCCAGAGCCCTGCCCCTGCTACTCTGTCCCTCAATGTATTTGCTTGTATTCAGGAAACTTCTTAGCTTTTGGTTTAGTCCAGTTGTGCTGACTTCCCCTGTAGTGTGTGTTGTCCTCCCTTCACCTAAGACAATTCTTGTCTACTGTCTAGTTAGTGAATACCCGTCTCCCTCCCTCCTTACCCTCATAATCACCAAAGAATGTTTTCTTCTGTGTTTAAACCTTTTCTTGAGTGAGATGAATTAATTTTGATGGTGACAGTAAGGCAGGAGCAAAATCTGAACAGTCTGTCAAATACTGTTCTTTCGAAGAGACCACATTATTTTTCTTAGGCGTTCAGTAGATTCAAAATTGGCATTTTCTGGTCATTATTGAATTTCAAAGATGAAATCACATGTTTCAAGTAACATCTATAACATACCTTTCAATTTCCCATCAAAGTCAGGGCTTGTGGCCACTTGGAGTCCTGGGTGTGGTAGGAGAAAACAGTTGACACTGGAAAAACACGAGTGAATGTGATTTCGAACATTCTGAATTTCCTCATGTTGATGTTCCTTCACCTGCCAATAAAGACCAACAATTTACCAATGACCATTTCTTTTTCTTCACGAAGAACCGCTAGTATAGGACAAAGGAAAGATGATTTCTCAACTCTGATGGATCACAGTGGCCCATGTTTTGTCCAATGAGAAAACTCAAAACTCTAAGAAGCAATAAATGCATAAATTTGATTAACCATGGCTCGCCTCCTTTAGCTAACAAAGAACAGGTACTGAAGACTTTCTAAAAAAAAGAATATTGCACAATACTTAGGAAGAAAATGGGAAGGTTTGTGGGCATAAAGGAGGGCCTAGCCAGTTAGTAGTGACTGACAAAGGGTTCTTGTGTTTTGGTTTTGGAGAACACGCTGGGCCTGTTTATATCCATCCCAAAACAAATAAGAATTTTGAATAAGAACAACAGAACTAAACTTCTGAATGTGATGCTCTAAAAGCACGTACAGAAAGAGCCTGGTGTAAAATGTGAAACGGAGACTACAATCAAAGCTTAGGCTTTTGCCCAGAATTCTCCTCTACAATCTCTGTGCATTATATACTCAGGTTTTTTAAAATTATCCATGAATAAATATGAGTTTATGCTAAGATTCTGTTCAAGTATTTAACACATTTAATGTAATTTTCAATAATCTGCTTTAAATACAATAGCTGAAGGCAAATGAGAAAGATATTACTTACTTTTGGGTAATTCCTCAGAAAGTTATATTCCTACTTACCTGTAGACGCTTATCCAAAAATGCCATTCCTCCTTGTAGGCCATAGTTGTATTCATAAGGGAAACTCCAGTCTCGAACCAAAAACATCAATGTCTATTTAGGAAAACAGAACATATTATAGTGTTGCAAAAATGCTTTTTCAAGATAACAACTGCAATACTTCTTTGCATAATGCCAGGGCTTTTTCTAAGGGAAAAAGGAAATGTGATGAAGGATTTATCTATTCTGTAATGTGTCTTAGAAACCTTATAAACACTAGGACATGTATAAGCCAAGGTGATGTCAACATAGTCCATCTGCTATTTTTGTTCTCACAGGTTAATAGGAACAAAAGAAAAAGACTGAGGAAAAAAGGTTAATTCAGGGCTCTGCCCTTAAGGCATATTTCGGAAATGTGGTAAAGAACAAGAGAGAAAAAAGGAACATGGCACCAGATAATCATAAAATTAGAACGAAAAAGAAAACTAAATTGAATAACACTCAAATACTTAAAGCACCTCTAATCTTCCTAAGGTTACTGTGCATTCTCATCCTCAAGAAACAATTAGCTAACGCAGGGGGCAGGAAACGTTTCTGTAAAGGGGCAGAGTAAATATTTTAGCCTTTGCAGGCTATATGGTCTGTCACAACTACTCGCCTCTGATATAGCAAGAAAGTACTCATAGACAATAAACAAACGAGCATGGCTGTGTTCCAATAAAACTTTAGTCATGAACACTGAAATTTGAATTTCATATAATTTACATAAAATATTCTTCTTTCGATTTTCTCTTTTTTTTAACTATTTAAAAATGTAAAAACCATTTTTAGCTCGCAGGTCATATAAAAACAGTTGGTGGGCCAGATTTGGCCTGTGAGCCATAGTTTGCTGATCTCTGAAATAAAGGTATGAATTATTTTCATAGTTAACATACTACCTGGAATGGTTTTTGGGAAATTTCATCCATTGCCAGACGACCATATTCTGTGAAGAGCTTTAAAAAAGAAGAGTTACGATTTACACAACAAAATTACTTAAAATATTTCTATGACTTATTCTTTAGCAAAGTATTCATTTAACAGACTGGATACTACTTACACTGAAACAAAAATTTTACAGTTTCAAAAGCCCACAGGAGCCAGGAGCCTTAAAATAATCTTGGGATCTCTCTCACATCCCATGTCCCAATCCACCAACAAATTCAGTCTCTGACCCCACTACTTCATGTGGCTTGGAATACTGCAATAGCCTCCTAACTGGTCTCCTCATCTCAGCCCCTGCCCCAGTAGAGACTATTCACAATACAGCAGCCAGAGCAGCTCTGTTATAAATAAGATTCCTTAGATCATATCATGCCTCTGCTTAAAACCCTCAGCCTGATTCACTATAAAAGCCAGTCCTGACAGTGTGATCCGGCCACACTGGCCCTCCAACGGGGTTGGGCATGCTGCCGCTTTAGCAGCTTTGTACTGGCTCCTCCCTCTGCCTGTAATGTTTTCCTCGCAAATTTCTACGTGACCTGTTCCCTCACTTCCTAAGATCTTTTACTCAGATGGCTCCTTCTCGTTGATGCTGTCCATATCTAAAATGATTACAACTCTCCACACAATACTTCCTACCCCAAGTCTCTTTCTTTTCTCCTTACCACTTACCATGATTTAACATACCAATATTTATTTATCTTGATCAGCGTCTGTCTTCACTACTAGCATTTAAATGCCATGAGGGCAGGAACGTTTGTTTTGTACACTACTGTTATCTCCAGCAGCAAAAAGAGCAATGGGTCCATAGTAGTTATGACATTCAAACAACTGAATGGATGAATTCTTTAAGGTTAGGGTTTACACGTACACTTCTCTAATTCTTCATGAATCCTCACTAAAAGTATAGCAAAATAAAATTTAAAAGTTATAAACTCACAAAGAGGACAAAGAGGATGGGAAATAATATGATAGCAAAGAGTTGTCCAAAACACTCTGGAAGGAAAACAGACAAATGGCAACTCTCTTGGGTTTTGGCTTTTTCTGCCCTGGGAAGAAATCTGGGAGAGGCAGAGGCCAAATAAGAAATGACAAGACTCTCACAGCAGAACCCCTGCAATGCTCAGAAACTAGAAGCACCAGCTACCTTGAAGGAGGGGTATGGGAGTAGGACTGACAACTAAAGAATGTTTGAAAGTCTGTGGCGAGAGCATCTACACCCCTAGATTTCACCCTCTGAGTCGTCTTCCTGCCCCCACAGAAAAAACAAGAAGTGTACCCTCTAGAGAGGTTAAACAAACAAACAAAAAAGAATCTAGACATGGAAACCAAGTTGAGCTGAGGACAGGAGTAAGTTACCTTACCTTACTGGTAGGGGTACTTAAGTCAAAGTCTGCATACTAAACAGTGGGATCCCTCTGTCCCTCACCCCTGCTGGACACCACAGTAAGCTTCTATCCACCCAGACAGGTGTTTAAAGAATTCTTCTCTGAGGAAACTGACAGCCCAAAAATAAAGTCTACAAATACAGACACTCAGGGGTTGGCAAAAAAATGGCTAAATAATCTTGCCCAATCACCTCACTGTGATCCAAACCAGTACACAAAGCCCATCCTCTTACCAAAGCCTCTAGTCAGATTTTAGTGGCTTACTCTTAAATATGAACAGGCAAGGAGCACCAGACATTTGAGAAAAGCCCTTAACAGGAAAGACAGAAACTCATGTCCATCAATTCTAAATCATCATCTTATACTATTCCTTTTATAATTTCTTTCCCTTCATTTCCTCTGTTCTCTCTTACTGAAACACCTATTAGACCTCTCCTGAACTGATTCTCAAAATTTTCCTTTTGTGTGTGTAGGTGTTCTCCCCCTTTCCCTCTCTCCTTCCCTTCCTGTCTCTTTATCGGCTTCCTGTTGTTACCTCTTGGTTGTAACAGCTACTACAGCTTATCTGAGGATATTAATTTACAAAGAATGAAGAAAAAGGCCACACTAAGGTACATTACCATGAAATTTTCTACCACCAAGAATAAGAAGATTTGCAAAGCTTCAGAGAGAGGAAGAAAGGGAAAGAAAAAAAAAATCACATACAAAGGATCAGGAATCAAATGTGTAAGACTTCAGCAGCCACACTGGGAGCAGGAAGGCAATGAAGCAATGCTTTTACAATCCTAAAAGTATTTCCATCCTATAATTCCGGGATAAAATAAAAATATTCTCACACTTGCAAGACCTCAAAAAGTTACCTCCTATGCATCCTTTCTCAGGAAGCTACTGGAGAATGGGTACAATTAAGGTGAGAATAAACAAATAAAAGATTAAATGAGATCCAGGAAATAGGAGCCAACTGAAGAAGGAATTGGAAGAAACTGCCAGGATGATGGCAAAGGAAAGCCACAGATGACAGCTGTGCACAAGGCCTAGAGAATAGGCAGTCCAGACTAGAGCAGGACAACATAGTGCCCAGTTGTAATGCCTCCCCAGGGAAAAGTAAATAGAACCTGAAGTATTAAGACCATACTGACAAGTTTTAGAATTCCATCAGTTTGGAGATGTGTCAGTCATAAGCACACACAAAACTAAACTGAAATGAAAAAGGCAAAAAAGGTAATTACAAGAAATGTAATCATAGTTTACAATAGGCCTCAGCTGTGAAGAACATACATACACATATAACAAGATAAATACAAATACTTTTTTAACCAAAAATTGTGATATAACTATTGGGAAGATAAGGGGAAGAAAACTTTACATGTGTTGGGGGTACAGGAGTGGTAAAGAGAGATAAATTCTATTTTTATATAAAGAAGTTATTAATATTTAAATTTTAAAAATCAAGAAGGAGCAGTATAAGCATGTTCAGCAAACAGCAGAAGACACAGCTAAAAGAACTGAAAGTGGTTGCCTATGAAGAGAGGGACCAGGAAGAGGAAAGGATACTTTACTTTTGCAGAACTATTGATTTTTTAGCTATGTATATGTATTACTTTGTTTAAAAAAAAAACTGCTTAAAAAAAAGCAAGTACCTGATACATATAAAATACTATATATATAAATAAAACAAAACATCCAAAACTATATAAGATCACAACCTCCTATCCATAATTCTGAAATCCAAAAAGGTCTAAAAACCACAAGTTACGCAGCAAACTCATTTGGAGACAAAACCTGTCTTGAATTGCTATGAGGTTTTTTATAGTCTTTATTTATCCCATTTCATATGACTAGTATACATTTCTCTGCAGAAATATTAATGTGTCTGATTAGGAGGTACTGCTTAAACACCCACTCCTGTCCTATACCTCGCACTATATGTGTTGTTGTTGTTAGGTGCTGTCAAGTCGATTCTGACTCATAGCGACCCTATAGGACACAGAAGAACTGTCCCATAGGGTTTCCAAGGAGCGGCTGGTGGATTCAAACTGCCAACCTTTTGGTTAGCTGCCAAGCTCTTAACCACTGAGCCACCAGGGCTCCACACTATTTGCACCACACTAAAATCCAAAAATGCTGAATTCCAAAACACATACAGCCTCAAAGGGTTTTAGATGAAGGACTGTTGTCGTGCGTTATATATTTTATACAGGGATATCATATGTGCTCCAAGCACACAGAAACAAACAGAAAGGATGTATGTTCCAAACTAACAGTAGTCATCACCTCCAGGGAGGAGGAGAGAGAGCCTCCAAGCTTTATCTGGGGTGTTCTCATTTTTTACAAGGACAATATCCTAATTTCATAAGTACTGTAATACATTACTAATTTTAAAAAACAGAAAGCTATTAAGCTGATAGAAATCATAATAACATTTTATAGAGCTTAATTCCCACCTTTATGAAGATATGAAGAGGATATCTCCACCAGGAAGGAAACCTTTCCCAAACCTCCAGGCTGGCCTGATAATACCTGCGGCATCTTGCTCCCTCCACACTAAATATATTACTCTGATGTTCAGAAGTCTGTTTTTTTCCATTGATACGGAGTCAAATCTATCCATTTCTGTTTCTTTTGTCTTGTACCTTCTATGTCTTACTTAGAAAATTCTCCCTCTAAGCACCTGTATTTTTCTCATCATTTGTGGTTTTTATTTTTTTTTACATCAAAATATTTAATCCATCTGGAATTTAGTATATAGTAAAAGGGAAGGATCTAATTTTTTAATAATCTAAATAGATAGCCAATTGTCCTAATGCCATTTACTGACTGACTCAACTTTTATGGTATACTACATTTTTATATATTTCATTTCTACTTAATATAAAAATGTACTATATCATAAATATAGCACACTGATCTATTTATTCCTATGCCAGTACCATGCTGTAATTACAGCTTTATAATATGTACTAAGCACTACGTCAATTCTCTCATATTTCTCCCACACCCTGTAATTTTCCTGGCAGTTTACAATTTAACTTTCCAAATGAATTTCAGAATAATTCTGTCAAGTTCCCAAAATAATGCCTTTATGATTGTGTTAAATAGGGAAGAACTGACAATTTTATAATACTCAGTCTCAAATGAGATAATGTATATAATGCATAGCACAGTGTCAAGCACAGAGGAAGCAATAAATGTTATCATCCCCATAAAAAAGAAACAAGGCATATTTCGGCATGTAGTTAAATTTGTTATATGCTTCATATAATTGTAAAGTCCTTCATACAGATCTCATTAAGTTTTTAAGATTTTGTTGCTATAGCGAATATTTTCCATTATATTTTTAAGCTGGTAGATAGGAAAAGCTTACCGATCTCTTTGTATTGTATTTTGCAATGGGTACCTGATTAAACTTTTTTTTTTTTTTCTAAGTTCTAATAGCTAACCAGCTGATTCTTATGGGTTTCCAGACAGACAAACATATTATGTTCTCCTTTTTAGGATTTATATATATGAAGTTTCTGGGTCCATCATCAGCCTTATCAAGTGATTCAAGTCCTGTCACCCCTACTCTCACCAATCAATGCCCTAAACATAGCCACATACCCTCACCCCCAGCTTCATAGTCTATGGCACTATCATCCACATAATGCTCCAGACCTCCTTTCCCCCACCTCCCTGACTTTCACTGTATTGTCTGCAACTTCAGATTCACGATTAACAAACTCCCCTAAATTTCCAGCTCCTTCTGAGTATTTCTTCTACCTCCTTGCTTTAACTAAGACCTGACTCTCCCTCTAAGGACAAAATTTTCCCTGAAGACATCTCAAGTAGTAGCAATTGTTCTCTCATACATCATGTGTCTCAGGATCAGAGTTCCTTGCTTTCCTTTGTCACTTCTAAACCACTCTTCTCATCCTCTTGTAAAAACCCCTACTCTTTTAGAATCCATGCCATTCTATATACCAGCCTCTTCCCTCGTCCCTTACTGCCATCTATTTACTAACCACCTGGTCATTCCCTCTGATTCTGGGACTTCAGCACCTGTCCCAGTCTTCTTCTTCACCAAATGAGGCACTCCATCCAATCCTTGCCTCTCAACTCTTTGTCCTCTCACCTCTAATGACCTTCTCCACCCCAGTAAAGCCACACTTTGTGGACTCTGTCACCAACCATAAGAGTTCCTCCTCTAAAACCACAAATTCAAAGCACTCTACTCTGACTACAACCTCCTCAACCTTCTTGAATTATTAAAATATTCCCACTATTACTGTTCTTTGGCCTTGGCAGGACTTCCATTCCAAAGAACTTTCTACTTCCCTTCCAAACATAGGGTTCTCTTCCAGAACTGCCTCTCTCAATGAAAAGAACCACCAACCATCAAGAAACTTACAAATTATCCATAACACCCGCTTCTATCTCAATCCCTAAATTCTTCTACCACCAAGTCTTTAGCTGTTGCATAAACGCCAAACAGTACTTTTACTACATATTTACTACACAGAAAAACAACAATGCATTTTCCTTGGGAATAATCTCCAAACTTTAATATGTATTATCTTTATAATTAGCCTCAAATACTTAGAATTACATTCAGTCAGTTATGGGACTCAAGAATATAGGAAGCTACTAGAGCTACAAAGAACTAGTTTAGAAAATTCTTATGGAAAACATGGTTTTGGACTGAGTTCAAAGAATGGAAATAATATGCCTAAATGGAAGTACAATATATACTACAAAGACAGCTTATTTCAATAGCTAAAAGAATTAAACATGCTGAATTCTGTGGAAATTATGCACATTTGTTTTACTAGAGAAGAGTGCTTAAGCTAGAATGAAATGAAAAATCATAATTGATAATGGGAAGGAAGTAAGAGCCATGTTTAATGGACTGCCCTGATGAATAAACCAAGGCTTGGATTTAATGCAAGTGTAATCTGGAAATCAATACAGATGTCTAAAAAGGAGAGTAGCATGACCCCAATGACACTTAAAAAAGATGATTCAGCAGCATAAAAGACAATCTGAAGGTAGAAGAAACTGAAAATACAAAGTCATCTGGAAAGCTGTTATAAGACCAGACATAAGGTCAAGTCAGTGTAGGAGTGGGTAGAACTTAACTAAAGAATCAGGAACACTTGGTGCTGAAATGATTATGGGAAAGACATGCTTAAACATATGCTGGGTTTGAGGAACCAGAGGATGATGAAGCTCTTGGGAATAGAATCAAAGGAGAATTATGTACTGCATCGTAACTTCCTTTCCACTCATGCCTGTTCATTTATGTATCTCTCTCACTGACTATACAATCTGGAAAGGTAAGAACCATGTCTACCTCAATCACTATTCTATCTACAGCACTTGTTCCACTGCCTCACGCAAGGTAGGCATTCAAAAAATGTGTGTGGAAAAAAAGTGACTCAAGAAGGAATAAGTTTCAGTGGAAATAATGACAAGCTCAGGTTTTGATGGAGATTTTCTACAAATCAACAGCTTCCAACTACTCAGTCATGGCACAGGCGTAGAACTATCAAATATAAAGTACAAATAATGCTGCTAGTAGCATTAAATGCCCAAGTTTAGAAATAACTTTCTTTGTTTTAGTGGAATATAAATTAGAACTAATTCAAGGTAATTCGTATATATAATTGATACCTCACTCACTAACATTCTGATACGCTTTCTTGAATACTGGGGGTGGAGGAGAGTGGAATTAGAGGAGCATGCCAGGAATTGCATCCAAGTATGGAATACCCACGGGAGAAAGTTTTGATGGGAAAAACAGATAAGAACTGCTGCCGCTCTGGAGAACATAAGACACGGAATAATAATAGTAATAGTAGTAGGAGTAATGAGTAGCATTTATTAAGTACATACTATGTGCCAGGTACATATCTCTATGCAGTTAACAAATAACTTATTTAATCTCACCTGGATTATTGTAACAGCTTCATAATCAGTCTGACTGAATGCATCCTTGATCCCCTACAATCTATTCTGAACATTGCGGCCAGATCCTTTTATTTTATGTCATTATCAATCACTCCTCTGCTCAAAACCCTTCCATGGCTCCCATTTCACCCAGAGGAAAAGCTCAAGTCTTCACAATGGCCATAAAGGCCTGGCATGATCTAGACCTCACTGTCTGAGCTCACCATTTAGCCTCTTCTCCATCACATCCTCCAAACCCACCCTCTGGTCTTCTAGCTGTTCCGCCAACCTGCCAAGCACACTCTACCTCAGGGTCTTTGTTCTTGCTGTTCCCTCTTTTATAGCACTTTTCCCCCTCAGATAATCTGCAGGGCTTACTCACCCACTTTCTTCCATTCCCTGCTCAAATCAATGAGGTCTTTCCTGACCACCCCAGCTCCATCCCAGCAATGGATATACCGAGTATAGGACTACTATGAACCAAACACCTTCCTCCACATTTCAATCTTTTATTAAAAACCACTCAGTCCTCAAGAGCAAAAGAGAGAAAAGGAAACCAAAGACTCAGAGAAAAAAATCAGTCTACAGGACTAACAGTCTACACGAATCACAGCCTCATATACTCCGAGACTAGAAGAACTAGACAGTGCCCGGTTACCACTACCAACCATTTTGATTAGGGCCACAATAGATGAATTCTGATAGAAGGGAGAAAAATGTGGGATAGAACTCAAATTCTTAAAAAGTCCAGACTTACTGGACGGGTCAAGACTAAAGGACTCTCTGAGACTATGGCCCTGAGATACTCTTTAAACCTTGATCCAAAACCATCCCCTGAGGTCACCTTTGAGCTAAACAGATTGGCTCATAAAATAAAGAACATAACCCGTGAGCACTGAGCTCCTTTAAAAACTCATCTATATGAGACCAAACGGTCAACAATTACTCTAAAATAAAGAAGAGAAGGTAATGGGGCAGGGAAACTAATTGCCGGAAACGAACCACAAGAACAGAAACAATGAGAATGTCAACACTTTGTGAAAAATGTAACCAGTGTCACGGAACTTTGTTTAGAAGTTGTATAGCGGGCACCTAATTTGCTGTGTAAACTTTCTTATTATTTAAAAAAACTACTCAGTCCTAAAACCGTTCTCAGTCATAAAACTCTTAAATGATGTATTATGATGTTAAAAACTTCATAAGGAATATGTACCTGCAGCTGTTGAAGATCATCTTCCTGAATGTTCTGGGACAAATTGTAAATCTAGAAAACAAAAATCCAGCTTAATATCACTCTGGCTTACTTCAAGAAAATCTCAAATAAGTCTAAAGCTTTATACAATTAAAGATTTGTACATAACACTGTGAGACCTATTCAAACAATAATAATAGCTGTATCTGGAAAACTACACGCATAAGGTTAAAAATCATAAAATTCTTCCTTTATAGTTTTAAACATATTTTCTCCTAAGTTCTTACCAAATCTACATTTTCTATAGAATATAATTAATGTAATTTCAATCTCTATTTTTCAGACTTTTCTTAGAGCATTTCATATATAATTAGGACCAAAGTGGAAAAAATAGTTTAGCTCTTTCTTGAGCTTTTAAGAGCTTAACTTAGATCAACATTCTAAAAAGAACATTTACATTTCATCATAGGAATTCTGACAGCAGAACAGTAACTGAAACTAGATTCCTCCCTTTACTTGATTTCCTCGGCAAACTTTTCCCCTCATCAAGTGGTTTACCTGAACAGAACTAGTCATGGTGCTTAAAGCAAAGATGGTAGCACAATCTTTCACGGTTGACTGGCTGTCAAATGCCCCCTGGGTATCCATCAGAATAACTGCAACCTTAAAAGAAAATACAAAGAAAAAATGTTAAAGAAGGAGAAATAGTTAACATTTAAATGAGTCTTAAGTACCCGCTCATAGGTTCTATAGGAAAAGTGCAATTATTCATGTGCTTTGTTTTGACCAAAGAACTTTGCTGGAGAAGAACTATCTGCTCTGACATAGAGGACATGGAAGGAGCTGTATCACTGCTGATGTCAGATGGATACTAGCTGAAACCAGAGAATACCAGAAAGAAGTTTACCTTTGTTATCAGAAGGGACCAGTCCCTGGAGAAGGACATCATGCTTGGTAGAGGGTCAGTGAGAAAAGAGGAAGACCCTCAAGGAGATGGATTAATACAGTGGCTGAAACAATGGGCTCAAGTATAACAACGATTGTGAGGATGATGCATGACCAGGCAGTGTTTCATTCTCTTGTACATAAGGTCACTATGAATTGGAACTGACTCGACGGCATCTAACAATAACATAAAAATGATAGACATAGGAGGCTTTATCCTATCTACACTTAGATGAAGATATTGTCACACTGCATGAACAATCAAGAATAATCATGGCTGGGACAACTGGATATCACATGCAAAAAGAGTGATACTGTACACTTTCCTTGGACCATATACAAAAATTAACTCAAAGTAGATCAAAGACGTAAATGTAAAAGCTAAAACTATAAAAATCTTAGAAGAAAACATAGAAATGAATCTCTTTGACCTTGGATTAGGCAATGGTTTCTTAGATGAAATACCTGAAGCACAATCAACCAAAGAAAAAATAGATAAACTTCAAAACTTTTGTGGTTCAAAGAACACTATCAAGAAAATGAAGAAACAACCTATAGAACAGGAGAAAATATTTGTAAAAGATGTATCTAATACCACTGACTGCTCTGACCAGGATCACAACAGAGGGTTCTGGACAGAGCTGGAGAAGGATGTAGAGCATAATTCTAACCCACAAAAAAAAGACCAGATTTACTGGCCTAAAGGAGACTGGAGAAACCCCGAGAGTATGGCCCCCAGACACCCTTTTAGCTCAGTGGTGA